AAATTGACAAAAAATAAAAAATTTAATCTTTGAACGTTACCCATACCGCTTTCGATACACTTCAAAGATAGATACCAACTATCTTATGTGAAATTATAGCCAAGAGCAATATCTACAACTTTAATTAGAAACACTTTTCATAGTATCTAGTGAAACTTTTGACTTTAATTAGACGTGAACGAAAACGGCCGAAATTTATTAAAAATTTTTAAAAAATAAAAAAAAATCCGAAAATAATCATCAATCGTTTTTACATATAAAAGTATTTTCTTTACTAATATGATAATAAAAATGATACTAAGTAAAATTAAAGTTAAGAATATACTGTATCTTGTGTAAAGTATTCAGAGTTTTTTAATAAAATGTGAGCGAATAACGAGCAGTTAAATTACAGAGAATAATTTCAGAACGTCTGAAGTTAGCTGTTGATATTAAATTAAATTCGTAAGCAAAAATTCTAAAAACTTCAAAAACAATGCTCCCCATTCTTGGCTATAAGATTAATTAGTCATACATTTGATGATTAATTAGTAAATAATAAACTTTAATATGTAAAAACTTTCGATAATTATTTTCGAATTTTTTTTCAGATTTTTTAAAAAATATCAAAGATAAATGATCGACATTGATATTTTTTTTAAACCCGAAAATAATTACTAAAAGTTTCTACATATAAAAGTTTATTATTTATTAATAAACTATCAAATTTGTTACTAATTAATCTTATAGCCAAGAATGGTGAACATTGTTTGTGGAGTTTCTAGAATTTTTATTTATGTATTGATTTTAATATCAACAGCTGAACACCGGACGTTCAAAAATTATTTTCTGAAATTTAATTACTCATTATTCGCACACTTTTTACTAAAAAAATCTGAATACTTTACACAAAATACACTATATTCTTAGCTTTAATGTTACTTAGTATCATTTTATTAGTATATTAGTAAATAAAAAACTTTTATTGTTCAGAACTTTTTTATTCTAACCAGCTATGATAAAATATGCAGTTAATATGACACTGCATAGCTTTGAATAAAAATTGTATTACATAGCTTTAAATAAAAATATGCAGTTAAATGAAGTTGTAACATTATACAGAATATTACAATCATTGTAAAAAATTATATTCTACAATAATAAAATTATATTATATTGTTTATAAATAATAAAACTTATAGTTATTTAATTTTTAATAATTTAAATTTTGTAATTTAAATTTAGTTGAATAATATTTCACATTTTATTTTTTCAAAAATAATTTATAAAAAATGAAACGCAAAGAACTTTCTGAATTCCAACGTGGTGAAATAATAGGTGCTTGGAAATGTAAATTTCATGTGAGACAAATAAGCAAGACATTAGATCATCCAAAAAGTACAGTACATGATATTATATCAGCTTACAAAAATCATGGATTAGAGAAAATGCTTTCTCGAAGTGGTCGACCATCTATTATAACTGAAAGAAATAATATGCAATTAATGCGAGTTTTAAATAAAAACCGTAGAACTACTATTAAAGAATTACATGAAAGCTATATTTCTTCCACTTCAACAAATATAAGCTCAATTACTCTTAAAAGACATCTTCATAAGAATAATATTTATGGAAGAATTGGAGCTAAAAAACCTTTTGTTAATGCAGCAAATAA